AGCAGTAGCAGTAGTAGTAGTAATAGTAGTAGTAGTAGTAGTAGTAGTAGTAGTAGTGGTGGTAGTAGTAGTAGTAGTAGCAGGAGTAGTAGTAGTAGTGGTGGTAGTAGAAGAAGTAGTAGTAGTAGCAGTAGCAGTAGTATAGTAGCACTGGTTTCCCTAAGCCCTGACTATTGAGAGCCTCAGGAATCTCCTGGATGATCTCATGGACCTGCACGTTGGGCACCTGACACAAGGGCTTGGTGTTCGGGTATAGGCTTTACCTGTAGTCTCCATTGTAGGTCCTTTTTGGGGATACCTTATAAAATCCTTAATATATAATTGGATAAAACAAAAAAAAGGAAACTACAACGGAGACTATAGGTAGGGTTTACCAGGACCCCCCCCCCTGCAATAGAGCCTTTATGGTCCTTAGTTTAGGGTTTAGGGTTTCGGGTTTAGGGTTTAGGGTTTGGGGTGTAGGGTTTAGGGTTTTCGGTTTAGGGCTTAGGGTTTAGAGTTTCGGGTTTAGGGTTTTGGGGTGTAGGGGTCAGATCTTTGGTGCACCTCAAAGGCTGGAGACGAGAAGCTGGCTTTGCTAAGATCGGGACCTGACCAGAAAGACTAGGGTTCCTTAGGGCCTGAGGGCTTCATAAGGGTTGTATAGAGGCTTAATGTAGGGGCCGTAATTAATAGCACAACGCTTCAAGTTCAGAATTTGTTTACCGTAGAACCGTAGAAGTACATAGGGAAGCTTAGATGTCCCTTACAATGGATCTATCATCTGCTGCAATGAGTGACACCCGGTAGCGCCAACAGACCTACCTGTCTAAGAACGTACACAAACAAAGCCCGGATAAGGATTGCTAAGCATGCAGCAATTGTCTTCGGTATTCCCTGCTCAAATTGGTTGTCTAGTCTGTATACCTGTATACCAAGCAGAGACCCTTGAACCCTTCAAGTTTCATCGAGCCGGTCGTGCCACAAACACGATGCCTGTAAGAGCTCTAACCCTACTAGGGGAACTAAATGTTAACCCTTGGGGGTAAAATCGAGATTATAGTAATTACCCCAAAAAAGTTCAAGGTTTCCCTACTTTACTACTAACTAAATAACCCCGAACCATAAACCCTAGTAGCCTTAACCCCGGAAAGCTTTGCCCCCGAAACCCAGCCGCTGCCTCCACCACCTGTTGTTGGACCTGCACTGGTTTAGGGTCTAGGGTTTAGGGTTTTTCGGACGTGGTTCTTTGACAAAAATCCGGTACTGTCTTGCCTGAGGAGCTAATCGGTTCAAACACTGAACTCTATACCCCGGATCAGCCCTACGTGCTGAGCCCTACACCCTCGACATAGACCCCGAACAGGTCTCACATTTCATAGTTTGTTTGTCTTCAGTTCTTGTACTGACGGATGCCACCGAAAACAAAACGCGCTTGGGGTTGATATCTCGGGGCTTTGGCGGCTGGGGCATGGGCACGAGAGTCTAGAAGCACCGCGGCTCGGTCACAGGAGGGGACAAAAATGCAGACGCCTGAATACAACTCCCTTGCTTTAATGAGTAAGGCGGTAAAGGGCCTGATAATTACGAGGATCCCGACCCCAAACCCTAAACCCTAAACCCTACGCCGTGACTTCAAAGGTGGCAAAAAGTCAGGGCGCCAGTCCCTACATCATCATCCTTTTGTTCGTGAGGGGGTGACAAGACGTACTAGTGGTAGTAAGAATACTACTCTTCTTGGCCACAGAATCTTGATTTCGTGTGGGTTGTTTCTTTGACCCGAAACCAAAAGCCCCAAACTGAACCCCTAAACCCTAAACCCTGTAGGAACTAAACTTGCTAAACCTCAGGGTTTACTTCAGGTTTTGGGTCTGCAGCGGGCAAGTTAGGATTTCTGCGTTGAATCTGAATTTAAAGCTTAACTCCCGATAAACCAAATTACCGTTTTAAGATCGTAAGAAGGAAGCCGACAAACCTACATTTTGGCGGGGTGAAGGCAGGGCCCATGTATTGGTATATAGAGTGTAGTTAGTCTAGGGGTTTAGGTTTGGGGCTACGGGCCGTGAAACGTGCATTAGCCCACTGAAGATTCCAGACAAAGGACCCACGACCACCAACCAGTGCACAGGACTTATGCAGACATGCTTATTCCCTTCTGGTTCCATAAACTCTCCCCACCAAACCGAGGGCCCCTTTAATTACCTCGTATCGGAGGGTTTAGGTTTTAGTGTAGGGTTGACGCTTCGCAGCATGCTTGCCTCGCCGTTCACGACCTGCTGGGTGTGCTGCTGCGTCACCTGGGCAGTTCTTGGCGAAGGCTCGTGAAGGAAAGTGGCAGCCCCCATACCTAAGCACGCATGTACTTGGAGGGTCGGGAGACTTAGTAAGTAGGTACTAAGTAGACTTATAAGTACCCTAAAAGGGACCCTAATTGGTTAGTACTTATATAAGTCTATAAAATAGCCATTCACTACATCCCCCGACCTCCAAGTAGAGATAAGGCTTCCTCCATCCGGCGCAAGCGGCTCCAAGCAAACCGAATCCCTCGAGTGCCATGTGGCATAGGAAGCCCGGAACCCTAAACTGTTTAGGGTTTAGGGCCTAGGGTTTAGGCTTCGGGGTTTAGGGTTTAGGGTTTAGGGTTTAGGGTTTAGTGTTGGGCCTAAACCCTGCAAAATGATAATGGCATTGCACCTGCGCAGGGCCCTCCACCTCCTTTGTGCGCCCATGGAGGTACCTCAGCCGTTTAGCATCTGGGGTTTAGGACTTCGTGCTTAGGTTTAGAAAAAAGGGTTTAGGGCCTGTCAGCAAGGTTTAGAAAGTCGGACAGTGGTCTGAAAGCTTTGCTGAAATCGCTGCTGTGGCCGACATACGGAGTTCATTGTTAAACATGCTTCTAGCGACTTCAATTGCATCTGGAGAGGTTTCTCAGTATCGGCCGAACCAACTAGCAGTTGTTGGCTCTACTTCTGGGGGACATAGGGAGGGGAGGGTACGACCTCTTGATAGACCATAGAGTCGTAGAAGTTTTTGTTGAGCTCCTTTTTCCAACCGCAGTACAGTGGTAGAGTTTAGGGCTTAGGGTTTAGGGCATAATCGAAACCTCTACCCGAAACAGTAGACTCTGTCGCCACACTGAACTTGTAAACCTCAGCGTCCCGAAGCCATACACACCTCAAGACCTACAGCCCCAAACAACAACCCTTAGGCCTGCAACCAGTAAACCCCTAGCCCCAATCCTGGAGCCCCAACCCGAAACCGTAACCCCGTATAGCCCTAGGGGCCTTAGTAATATATTTTGGGTGTTCCTTACTGTAATAAAAACAAAATATATCCCAAAACCCTATTCTAATTATTGAAGCCCCTACATTA